GGGGGGGCCGCCCCCGGGCATGTGGCAAGGGGGGGCCCGCCCCTGGGTGCGCAAGTGTCCCCGCCCCCTGGCGCCCGGCGGGCAAACGGCCATGCCCCCTGGCGCCTGACAACCTGAAAAGGTTGGGGACCACTGGTATAGTTCATATTAGTGTAAAGATATATAGTTGTATTATGTAAGTGGCTTAAAATTTTGGCATGCGTATTGTGTTGGCAGTGCATGTCCTCACCAGAAGCGCTTGTACTGATTGTACTTTTAATATGGGACACTGTGGAATTTCTTAAAGCCAATAACAGTCAGTGTAACTAACACAGTGTCTACGTGCGACACTATATTGACCTAACTAAATGGCTATTGACTGTGTACCTGTCATGGAGGTGGAATGAGGCATACCTGGGTGGTCGACAAATACCTTTGATGTCGCCACCCGCGCGTCCAGGCTATCGCGCTGAGCCGACAAACAGCTGATCAGCTGTTTGTCGGCTCAGCATGGCAGCCATGTAAATTTAAATGAAGCGGCGATTATTTAAATCACCGCTTCATTTTACTGTGTCTGGTAGCCTAATCTACATGCCTCTGGCGACAGAGGCATGTAGTCTAGACGTACCCTTATAGTGGAAACATTCCATGTGCTCATTGAGGTATAGTAATTTTGCTAGACTCAAAAAAAAAAAAAAATCACAGTTGTGAGAGACTGACATTTGCATATGGAATGTGCCAAATAGAAAAAGTAGTTACATAAGAAAAGGTGGATATATATGTGTAGCTACTTAAATGTGTATTGGATGGTTAAAGCTTTGTGGATGGAACTAATGAATTATGTACATCAAAAAGTTCTAGCTTTGCCACTGCCGCCATTTTTCCTTATTAATATAGGTGAGAAATAAAATGCAAAATGTTAAACTAGGCGATTGAATGCAATATTGATTGCACATTTACAATAGTGACATCTGCATATGTGCTATTTTCTTCTCCTGTTTCATATTGGAAGCACACTTTATGTATAATAATAAATATGTGCATAATAAACGTGTACTTGAAGTAGATGGAAACAGCAGAGGGAGCTCTTGCTATACCATCTAGGAAAGACAGCGGACCTTCACTCACTATTCTTTGAGCACATGACCTATAACCGATGAGATCATTTTATATACTTAAATGTAGCATTTAGTACTGCATGAATACTACACAATTTCATGGTATTTTTTCAGTCTTTAACTATCTTAAGTGGTTTAATTAAATTTATAAGTTTGTATCATCTATGCACACCAATATGTGCATCTTCCAAAAGAAAAGGTAATAGAACTATAATGTTGATAGTTGGGGTACAAATAACTGAAGAACTGTTGATTGTGAATTGCTTTTTTTTGTCCTTTGCTTTCTTTTCACATATGCAGTCTCAGGGCCGAAGTGAAATATTAATGAGTTTACAGAAAGTTCTAAGTGGGCTGGGTGGTGCCGCAGCTTCATGCCACCGTGATATTTATAAGAATGCACGGTCTATGCTGACGGATAGATCAATGGCTGTACGATGTGCAGTAGCTAAGGTGGGTACATTTTTTACAAAGTTTAGAAATCCACTTTGTGCTTTGGATGCTAGGTTACTATAGTTGGGCTTGCTGCCTGTTCTTTATTGTATGGTGTGATATATTTCTGAAATCCGTAGTAGTTGAATAAAATTGGAATAAAATTGGTGGCAATGAAGTGAATTATAAGGGAGAATGGCAAGATTTTGCTTTTGAGTTTATACCAATTATTTTCAATTTGGAGGAATAAAATGGTGGATATCATTCAAAATATTTGTTCATGACGGCATGATGCCTTTCCTGTACTTCCATAAGCTCTGATATGTGTGTATTTAAGTTAAATTGTAATTAATGTGTAAGTAAGAGTCCACTTTTTTTCCCAGTACATTATTAGTGATACTAAAAGAGCAGCATCCTCATTTGGGAAAGTGCTTTTCTCAGTGTTTTATTTATTTATTTTTCTAAAGTTGTATGACAGAATTATAGGAACTACAGATATGGAATTAAACTCTACATTTCTTCATGTCTTGTCCAGTGTAGCTTTAAATGTTCCAAGTAATTGGGCTTCTACATCTTCCCTTAAGAGACTATTCTGCTTTTTTAAATAGATTAGCATGTTAATTTATTTTCCTGATAGATCCTGACATGCAGCTAATTTAAAAAAAAATCTGATTACTCTCTTGTTCCCTCTTAACCTCTCCTCATCTTTCATAGACTAGCAGGTGAAGCCAGTTGTTGACCAGGCAAAGTGATTTTGCATACATTACATTATAGGAAAGTTCAAGAAATGAATTATATGTAATAGAATTTGTTATTAATTTGCTTGCAAAAGGGAAGTAAAAGAATAGTTTTAAATTTGTAGGATTTAAATTTCAAACATTATTCATTTTATTGAATAATTATACATAGTACATTTGAATCAGAAACTCATAAAGCTTCCATTACTCTTTCTATAACTAATTTTGACAGTTGAATAGGCAACTCCATTTTAATTTTGTCAGCTAATATTTGTTTATGAACTCTAATCATAATAGTCATGAATTTTTTCCAATGAAAAACAAAAATAATTATCTAAACCTTTCAACCATCATATTCCAGTCTAAAAAGTAGTGCATTCAGCTACTTTAAGTGACAGGATTGTTTATGAAAAATTTGGTATCTGTAGGTAATCGTGAAGTGTGACTTTATTTTGCACAGACAAATCCACAAACAAACTCTTCAAAATATATAGTAGATTGTTTTTAATTCCTTCATTATTTTTGCTTGGTTAAGGTATCCTATTTATGAATAATTCTTTGAGTCTTTCATCAAAAGCCAATTTTTCCAGTCTTAGTCATTTAAAACAAGGCACTAAAGATGTTGTCTAGGGAATAATGCTGCACAGGTAGATGATCTGTTAGTTGTTTTTTCTGCTCTCTAAATCAAATTGGAGATAAGAAATTAACTTCTGTTTAACTTTCACACATTCCAACATTGGAAGGGCATCAGAAATATATGCTTGGAGTTCTAGATTTTATAACAGTCCTCAAACCTTTCCCACAATAGTACAATACTTGTTAAATCTGGCTATAGCATGCAGCATATTGATTTTTCACTAGTATACCTTGTTCAGCAAAGTTATTCCAAATTAACAATGAAGACACACAAAAAGAACTTTGTCCACAAAGAGGGGAGAACATGGATGAAGCAGAGAGTTACGCAAAGTCTCAGCAAACAGTCAGTTTGAGATGTTCACTCTCATTGGACAAGGAAGACTACACATTATGTATCGTAACATGTAGAATGGGATATTTCATCCCAGCAGGCCATAGGAGGCCTCTGTCAGTGATGATTAGTGCATACTGCTCAGTTTACAGTACCAGAGGTCCTTCGACTCTTGGATGTGTCTCCTTCTAATAAGTGTCTCTAACAGTCGTGGCCACAAAAGGGCTGACAGTGTGAGCTACTTCAGATTTTCATGGCTAGTTGAGTATATTAAAACAAAAGAGGTGCCATGCTTTTGAATTTTTTGCTTAATCTCATGGTTTTTCTTCAGTGATAATGCAAGCAAATTATTTGGGGCTAAGTGGGAGAGAGGAAAAAAACCCAATAAAAACGGTGTCCATATTAACATGTCTGCCACATAAACCTAGTTAAGCATAGGCTTACTGGCAAAAAGGAAAAGAAGACTGTAGTAGTATTTAAGAATTTTTATTTTCCTATAGTGCCTACTGGAACTACAGAACGAAGCAGTATTTATGTGGACTGCTGAGCTAGAAAATGTAGCAACGCTTTGTTTTAAAGCCCTGGAAAACTCAAATTATGGTGTACGAGTTGCAGTGTCGAAGCTTTTGGGGACAGTCATGGCTACAGCATTGATACCAAAACAAGCAACAGGTACTGCATTATGTGACAGCATGGCATGATGTGTTATTGCCTTAGTTCATGGCAGGGATTTTTTCATAGACTTAAATTTTAAAAACAAATGAAGTCTGTGTATTTCCTATTATATTCCCATAAAGAGATAAAGGTAATAGATTAATTTTAACTTGCAAAAAAGTGATTCGCTCCAGGAGATTTTGATGACTAGAACATGAAAACAAAACAAAAGCACAATAGCTAAGATGTCAACTATGATTCCTCCAGACTAGAATTGTACATACACATCTCCAACTTGTTTTACCTGTCACATGGGCCTGTTGCCCATACACACTATATTATATCAACAGCCTTAAGACAGCAAATGACACCATGTCTTTTTTCCTTTGTATACTATGCCCGGTCTTTTGGGGGTATGTCTACACTTGCTCCCTAGTTCGAACTAGGGATGCAAATGTAGCTGACTGAAATTGCTAATGAAGCGGGGATTTAAATATCCCGCGCTTTATTAGCATAATCTCGCCCGCATGCTATTTCACTTGTCAGCTGATTTGAACCAGGAAGTGTGCTCCGGGACACGCTAGTTCCAATCAAACCCCTTGATTCGAACTAATGTTATCATTCAAACCAAGGGGCTTGACTGGAGCTAACGCGTACCGGAGCGCACTTCCTGGTTTGAATCAGCTGATGAGCAGAATAGTGCGCGGGCGAGATTATGCTAATGAAGCACAGGATATTTAAATCCTCACTTCATTAGCAATTTTGGTTGGCTACATTTGCATCCCTAGTTCGAACTAGGGAGCAAGTGTAGATGTACCCTTATATACTAGACAACTGTAGCCTGATCGACCCTGTAAAATATATGGTTGCTGGAATACCCTTCTGTCATCCTTGTAGACAGATACTGTGGTCTGTCCTATGGCTGTCAAAACAGTTGAGCCTTGTCTGTGCTAAAGCCTCCATGGCACTAACACAGGTGGCTTGCATCCATAGGTCAAAAAAAATTCCTAGCATAGGCAGGTCTTAGGAACCAGATTCTGATCCTTCATAAGTGGACTTGTATATTGTCTTATGTAAGAGTAAACTTAAAAAACAGCGAATGGTCCTGCAGCACCTTAGAGACGAACAAAAAATGTAGCTAGTATCATGAGCTTCTGTTGGCACAACCCACTTTTTCAGATGAATGGAGTAAAGAGGACCGGGTTGCAAATAAATAGCAGAGAAAAAGAGGGGATTGGGAGGAAAAGAGAATGGAAAAAGGAAAGAGAAGGGAAAAAATATTGTCAATTAAAGTGTCCATGTTAAATGAGGCTAATAGCATGGGCTCTCAGTATTCTAAGTAGCCGGTGCTTAGCATTTTATGTCATGCGGATATGGAAAGTAGCGGCCTAACCAGGTCAGGTGTTTGTTTAAACCTTGCTGGTTCTTAAGTTTTTTCAGTTACAGACTAACACAGCTAGCCCTCTGAAACTTGTGTAAGTAGAAGTTACTATTATGCATGCATGTGAAGGGACAGTCACGAGTAATTTTAAAAGTGTGGATTTGTAGTGATGTGTATCTTTCAATATTGAAGGTTAGAACTGGGCCCAGGTATCTTATTTTATCTTATCTTCCTTACTCCCTTAACCCCTTTCATCATGACACACACAAACCTGAAACATGGAAGATTTCGAATGGGGGAGTAGTCTATTATTTTTAAAAATAAGACTTCCATATATGAATTTGTTACAGGGCTTAGATGTGTGGCACCCTATGCAGCATGTCAGGTTTGTCCCTTCAGCATGGCCAGAGGGAACTACTAGGGAGAAATGCAGAATGCTGCTTCTGCCCAAAACTATGTTAGTGGGGGGAAACAAGAAGCTAGATTTAGTCATCTCCCTTCATTTCAACTGTGTTTCTCTCCTCCCTTCAAGAATTTGCATAGACCTGTGCTGTATACATGTATGCTGGCAGGAGTAGTCTGAGACAGGTCTGAATGACTTGATCATAGTAGTTTTATTTTGCTTTTGCTAAGAGCAGCTGTTTAAACACCTTGATAAAGAGCACAGGGGGAGTCTTCCACTGACAATTCAAAGTAATAAAACTGAAGAAAAAATATGGAATGTTTAATGGTGTATCTAAAAATGGTGTGTCTCCTTCCAAAAGTGATGCGTCAGAATGTGAAGCGGGCTACCCTGGAGGAAGTCTTAGAACTTATGGCCACTGGGTTTCTTCGAGGAGGGTCAGGATTCCTAAAAAGTGGTGGTGAGATGTTGAAAGTAGGAGGGTCTGTCAATCGGGAAGTGCGAGTTGGTGTCACACAGGTTTGTGATAATTTTTAAAAAGATTTTCTGAAATCCAAAAGATGTTTTTTGAAAATATAGTAACAATATATACATACACTGGAGCTATTAACCCTGTTTGAGGAAAAATGTACATATGAAGACTATTAAGTTATTGTTCTCTTATTTGTTTTAAGATAATTAGATTGCTAATTGTGTAATGTACTTTCTTAGTTTGGCAATTTGTATCAACTTATTAATTCTCTTTGACTGCACTACATAAACATTACTACAATTTTTTAGCTAGCAGTGCTAGCTGACTTTTGAAAGCTTTTTTAAAATTAGAGAATATGACAACTATAGGTTGGCGTTCGCTGTTTTTTATTGGATCTATGAAAAATATCATCCAATCACAGTGTGCTAAGGCTACCTTAAAACTATTTAAAAATGTATAGTGCAGGATTAGGAACTGCTCCAGGAATACTCTGGGGCAGTTTCTAATCCTGAATTTGAGGCTAGTTTGATCTTGGAGTTAGCTCGCAGTTTGGTAGTCCAGTAGTTAATAGTTTTGGTATTAGTATTGGAGTAAGTTAACTATACGGTTTTTTGAGGGATGGTGGGTTGTGGGGGGAGTGTGGGTGTGTGGTTTTTTTTGTTTTGTTTTATTTTGTTTTTTGGTACAAAGATGGTGGAACTGAGGAATAAAAAACTCAGATTTAAAAGGTGCATGTCTTTCCAGCATCTGATACATATGCAAAATGTCCGCTATGTTGGAATGAGGGATACTCCCCATTGGAATGCTCAATTAACCTTAACATAATAAAACCCTAAAAATGTCTTTTTGGAGTTTTGCTTTGACTAGACTTTCCTCTTCTCTTTCTAAATCCTTCTAGCCTGAATAAATATATCTTTTTTTTTTATTTGTTTGAATTGAATATATATATTGTATTTGCAGGCATATGTTGTCTTTGTTACAACACTAGGAGGTCAGTGGTTGGAGCGTAATTTTGCTACATTTTTGTCCCATGTCCTGGATCTGGTGTCTCATCCTCGTGCAACTCAGACTCATGTAGAGGCAGTATACTCTCGAAGATGTGTGTCATTTATCCTGAGAGCAACCGTAGGCAGTTTATTAGGGGAGAAAGCACAGATTGCAGCTGCCAAAGATATTTGTCAAGCCATTGATAAGCAAATGAAGGCAGTGGGTAAGAAATGTTTTTCTTTATATAGGAAACAAGTTAAGCAAATCTTTCATAATGTTTCTTCTCTGCTAATGAATGATTACTATAGTTATGCTGTTAAACTACTCACCTTTTTTTTCCAATCAGTTTGCACTATTAAATTCTCTATATTAAAAAATTTGGTTCAACTCTGAAGAGAGATTCTGCACGAATGGCATTTGTCACCATGCAATAATTTATATATAAAGTGCCTAGTTAATAGTAAAAGGATTTTTTTCAAACTGCTACCCCCCCAAAAACTGTCCATGGGCTCCAAGAATGAAGCTGTATTCTTTCCTTCCTATGCATTACTATCTGTACTAATCACATTAGTCATATTAGGCTCTCAGGTACACCCCTGTATTCCTCCGGAAATTTAGTTTGTACAGTTGTAATAATTGAGGCCATATTTTGAAGACAGTGGAGTTTCAAAAGATGAAATGCAGCTACAATTTGGCTTTCAGAATCTTTAATTATTTGTGATAGTGTCTGAGAAGAAAGACCCTACTTTGATTTGAAGATGCCATGGAAAGTTTTACAAAGCTGGCGATTAAAATACATAATTTTACTTATTAAATGAACAGAATTGATCTGGAGATTGAGACAATAAACTGGAAGAGTACCGTAACATTTTTACAGAATGTTTTTTCATGGTGTAATGCCATACTGAAAACAACAGTTAAGATTATATCAGGAATTTCATCAGAATTCCTGTATTCCATGATCATACCTGAAAAATTGTAATTTTGGTGATGATCCTTCTGTGAATGCTCTTATCTCAGAAATTACTTTCCCATTATTGTTAACAAAATTAAATGAATGGAAGAGCTTAATAAGAATGAGAGTTTAATAAGACTCTTTATTTTTCTCTCTTGCAGAAGCAGTTGTGAATGATACGAACAGTGAAAATAAATCAGGAGCTGCTGATGTAGCTGCAAGCCAACATGTGATGGTTTGCGCACTTCAAGAACTAGGTAGCCTGGTACAGAGTCTGAATGCCACAGCATCTCCACTCATACAAGAACCCTCTATAGGTATGTAGATGAAGTTCAGTGGTTCCGTTTAGTAGTTCATTAGATATTTTGAGCAGTTAATGTGAAACATAGTTAAAATCTGGCAAAATATAATGGATAAATAACCATTTAAGAAACAAGTAGCAGGGAGTAGCAGGACTTCCAGGCTATGGAGGCCCTTTTGCCCACCCGTCATGTAGCTGTGAAAAATCTTAGTGATTACACATGCGGCGGGCTCTGTAGCTTAACTTTATACTGCAAAGCCCCAGCAAAGCCTCCCCCAAAGCAGGGCTGCCAGCCCCTGCAGTCCCAACTCCCAGGGCACCTCTCCAGGAGCAGAGCTGGCTGCCGGCTCCACTCCTAGGGAGGTGGCCTTGCTGCCATAGTGAATCCTCCATCCCAGGAGTGCAGCAGTCAGCTCTTAACTGCCAGGCTCCTGGGAAGGAGGGTTCCGGGAGCAGAGCTGGTAGTCCTTGTCCACCCAGCTCCTAGGAAGGAGGCTTCACTGCAAGGGCGCCATTTATGGGACCCTAGGTGGGGCAGTAGCCCCCCGAGTTTGAACCCCTTGGATTTCATACTTGAGGTCTGCTTAAAGCTGCATGCCCTGACTCTCAAGGAAGTTCTTAAATGCAACAGAGTTAGAGCTGTTTGCAGCTTTGCCTTTGGGGTAGGGAGTTTGTTATAAAAAGAGAAAGGTAGGGTGATTATGAATAACAAAAGGCTGTTCATTCCAGTAATGGAATAAACTTAAAAAACAACAAATGGATTGGTAGCACTTTATAGACTAACAAACACATAGATGGTATCATGAGCTTTAGTGGGCACAGCCCACTTCTTCAGATGACCGGAGTTTGATAGAATGATCATTAGATCATCATGAAAAAATTGCTGGGTACGCCACTTAAAAGATGGGGGGTTGGGAGGAGAAGAGTAGGAATGAGTTTTGGGCTGCTGGGATTTGCATTTGGATTACTGTGTTAAACTTACAAATGTTCTTGAAAAAACAGGGCTGGGGTGGGAGTGGGTGGGAAGAGACTAATCTAAAGCTGACTAGAAAGAGTTACAAAGGGATTTCACAAAATTGGGTGATTGGGCAACACGAAAGCAGATGGAATTTAGTATTGATAACTGCAAAGTAATGCACATGGAAAACAATAATTCTAACTATAGATACAAAAAAGCTGTTACCACTCAAGAAAGAGATCTTGGAATCATTGTATATAGTTACTTGAAAACATCTGTTCAATGTGCAGTGACAGTTTTTAAACTAACAGAATATTGGGAATCATAAGGAAAAGGAATAGATAATAAGACTAAATAAATGACTAAAGGGTGGGGGAGATATGTTAAATGTCTGGAAAATCATGAACGGCGTGGAAAAATAGAATAAGGGAGTGTTATTTCTTTCTTCACTAACTTAACAGAAGAAACTGACCCAATTCAATTTATAGGCAGCAGATTTAAAACAAAGAAAATACATTATTTTTCATAATCAACTTGTGGAATTCTTTGTCAGGAGATGGTGGAAAAGCACAAACAATAACAGGGTTCCAATAAGAACAAAATAAATTTGAGGAGGATAGATCCATCAATGGCTAATAACCAGAATGGGTAGGGGTGGTGTCCCTATCTTCTGTTTGCCAGAAGCTGGGAATGGACGAGAGGGGATGGATCATGAGGATTGCCTCATCTGTTTATTCCTTCTATAGCACCTGGCATTGGCCTCTGTCGAAAGTCAAGATACTGGGCCAGAAGGACCTTTGGTCTGACCCATTATGGCCATTCTGATCTTACAGAGCACTGAAATGTATCTGCCCCTTGCTGTAACCCATTAGACCCCACTCCCTTTCCATAGTTGAGATCGAGCTCATGAGTCCAGACAGGGTCTCTTTCTTTCTCCACAGAGTTAGTAACAAAGTAAGAATATATATTAAAATCTTAAGGCTAACCAGTATCTCTTAAGTGACTTGTCACAAGATGTCTGAATAAGCTAATCTTAGAGCTGAGTGGGTTTAATATTTGTTTAATTTTCTGCCTTTTATATAGGAATTAGATCAGGGGTAGGCAAGAGAGCAGGCCAGATTTGGCCCTTGAAGTAGGTTGATCTGGCTTGTGGACGCACTGATGCTCCCCAGGCCAATCAAGGCTTCGGGATGGGGGAGTGTGTGAAGTCTCCTCCCCCACCAGGGGTGCGTGGCACTTAGAGTGAACCACCAGCTCGATAGCTGGTGAAGTTGTCTGCCAAAAAACATAGTTTTCCAGTACCTTGGTTTTCCTGCCCCTGGATAGAGATGATGTGTGTGTGGGTAGAGGGCAGATGGGGTGGTTGCCCACTTCCCCATTTGGTGCTTGGCTTGTACTTGGCATACTCAGGAACACTGCTGAAGCCTCTGTCCTCATTCCGCCTCCCCCATGCTTTCACTTTCTCTTCCTCACCCCCCATCACAGTATGCACTGGTTGCCTTCCCCCCCATATCTGAAATGGCACCCTGCCATAGCAAAGTCGCCTCCCCGGGATCCTTCTGAGTATGAATCTAACTGATACAATTAACAAATAATGGTTGGGACAGGATAGAATTGTCTGAGACCCCTAGAGTACACTGCTGTCTGGAACCTGGAACAGAGCTCAAGATTTCTAAATCTTGCCCTATCTCTGTTGTCATCAGATATCTGTGAAACCCATTGGCCAAATGGGTGTCATCCCTCTTTAGGGGCTATTCAGAATGATAGTCTGCTACTGAGCTGGAGTGTCAGAAGCCTTTGCTATGGATCTAAAGATTCCCATCCTTCTGATGAACTATTTGGGGATCATGTATGTGGTAGAATTTATTTCAATGTCTTTTTTTTAAAAAACATAGGGTATAACACACACAAACTGATGTTAAAAGAAAATTAAGGTTGCAAAATGAAGCACTCAGAAGTGATGAAACACCAGAATAGGACCTCTACCGCTCTGAGTTGGCTCCTTAGTGGCTATACATTGTGATAGTCTTTTATTACATGATCATACACTGTTTTTCCACAGGATTACTGGAGACAGTAACCTCAGTTCTTCTTCATCCAAGCATGGCTGCTCGACTAGCTGCTGCATGGTGCTTGCGCTGTGTAGCTGTGGCACTGCCTTACCAGTTGACTCCCTTTCTGGATAGGTGTGCAGAAAGACTCAACAATCTGAAGACTTCACCAGAGGCTGTTAGTGGCTACAGTTTTGCAATGGCTGCTTTACTAGGTGGAGTACATCAGTGTCCCTTAGGTATTCCTCATGCAAAGGGAAAAGTGAGTTGACGATAAGCATTTAATCTCTGGAATTGTACTATGTGGCTGTAGTAAAGACATTTGTATGGAGAAATAAAAGTTCCAACTGACTGACGGGACGTTGACCTTTAAAACACCATTGAAACCTAACTAATGACTGATAAAGAATGAAAGTCATTTTTGTGTGCTTTTAGTTGTTATATTGCAGCTTTGTTTTCTTTTCATGATTTTTATTACGTTCTGTTTTGAGAATTAATGTATGACTAAAACAGGTTGACTATATCCACATACATAGAAGAGAAAATAACCAGCCTACAAATAATCTGGTCTTTACAAAATGTTTGTTTGTTTGTTTGTTTATTGGAGAACATTTTAATGTACAGTAGAGCATGTATAATAGTAATTTTGTGGCAATTTTCTTAGCCAATTTAAAATATATTTAAAATCCATTATGATTTATCCTGTTGTTTCAGATGGTAGTCAGTATTGCGGAGGATCTGTTACGAACTGCTGCTCAAAATAGCAGACTGTCCTTACAGCGCACTCAAGCTGGGTGGCTTTTATTAGGTGCACTTATGACTTTAGGTTTGTACTTGCTGTTGCTTTGTATTTTACTTATATTGCTTTAATTTTTGTTCAGCGTTTCTTTTACAATATTTGACTGTGACTTTCTGTGGCAGTTTATTCTGTAGATTGATCATCCAATGAGAGGTTTTTAATGTCTTCTCTTTGAATTTTAGTGGTCCAGTAACAATTTTCTAGTTATGTTATGACCGAAGGTGAAAAAGTGGCAGACCTCTGTTCTCAGTCAGGTTCCCTCTCAAGTCATCATTTTGCTTTAAGTAATCTTGAGTTTTGCAAACTTGTTGTCATAAGTGAGTTTTGAAATATATCAAACTATCTTGTTTGCCCTTTTAGGAACTTTTTTCCTTAGGGAAAAGAAAAGAAAAATGGCTTTCGACTGTGGATTTTATGCCTTCCAGAACCTTTTCTAAAACTTTTTGAAAAACTTAACCTTGAAGCTAGATACCTAGTTAATAACTGCCAATTAATGTTTTTCCTTGCAAAATGAATAATTTAGCTTAGTTAAAAGAACATGTTTTGCTCAACCTGAGAATGTGATGAAAAATAAAAATAGAAACTAGTTGTACAGGTTGAACATTCCTAGTGTGGCACCCTTGGGACCCGGCCACTGTCCCCTTCCCCAAGGTTCTGCTGCTTCAGCCTCAGAAGTTCCAGGAACCCCTTCCTCCAGCTGCAGGGGTGCTGGGGCCTCACTGCTCTGGCCCCTGGGCCTGCCAGGGGGCAGGAGCTCCGTTCTTCCCTAGCCCATCAATGCTTCTGGCCCCAACCTGCTGTTTTTTCCCTATCAGTGCTCTAGCCCCAGAGTACCCATGAGGTTACTGACAATGGTGGACCAGGCATGTTGCCAGACTAGGGAAGTTTCAACCTATATTATAAAAAAATCCAGGTTTTTAAAGGGATGGTGTCCTCTTAAATTTAACATTTGTATAAATAAATAAACCACAGTACTAATAGATACATTTCCTTGAGTTAAACTAGTAACAGTAGTTTGCAGTGTTGTTGTAGCTGTGTTGGTCCCAAGATATGAGAGAGAGATAACGTGGGTGAAGTAAAAAATGTTATGGGATCAATTTCTGTTTAGAGACACGCTTTTGAGATCTATCTCACCTACCTTTTCCCTCTAAAAACAATTGTTAGTCAACAAGTAAAAATACCCTGGCAGTGTATTTACAACACTTTTAACCTAAAATGAGAGTGACTTCCTTTTATTTTTTTATTATTCTAGCAAGGGCAAGTGCAAAAAGCAAGCAATCCGTTTATACAGTGAAAAGTAATTTGTACTCAGAAATCTCTATTGCATTGCACTTTATTTTAGTCTTAGGTTATTCATTGAAATATATTTATTTTTTATTATATTACATGTTATAAATAGATGCTGCAATTTCAGATAAATATTTCCTTGGTTAGGTCCTTCAGTTGTTCGGTACCATCTACCTAAGATGCTGCTGCTATGGCGAAATGTATTTCCTCGTTCTCTAAAGGAGCTGGAGGCAGAGAAGGCCCGAGGAGACTCTTTTACTTGGCAAGTAACATTGGAAGGTCGTGCTGGAGCTCTGTGCGGTAAGAAACTTGAAGTTGTGAAAGTTTGTCCTATTTCATTAGATGAATGTTATTTTCAACATCACAAATAACAAATTCATACAGAGAATTTGTAATACACCTCTTTCTATCAAAAATAATTGAAAATAGCATGCACAAAACTTGTTACATAATTAACCTTTTCCAATATTTGATATGTATTTTGATATGGGCTAATAAAAATGTTATTAAAAGGGTTTTTTTGGGGGGGGGAGGGGTATTGGATCTTCTGTTAGCATCAATAGCAAGGCTACTTGCTGAAATTTATTTCCATTTCTCTTGCAATGTAACTTTGACTGAAATGTTTTTACATTTTTAGCTATGAGGAGTTTTGTTGCTCACTGTCCTGAGCTCCTTACTGAAGATGTGATCAGAAAACTAATGACACCTATAGAATGTGCCATGACAATGATGTCACAGTAAGTACCTTTCTTTTGAAGATTCTGACCTTTTCTGCATAATTTTAGAAGTATAGTCTGAGGCTAAATTTGCCATTGTTGAAAGAATCCTTATTGCTGTTACAACCAATGGCTCTCATTAGCAAAAGTAGAAAAAAATCTCCAAACCCTTACTTTTCACTCAGCCTATATATTGAAACTAATTCACTAAGTTTCGCTTATATGTCTAGTTAATTTTACTTGTAGTTACTCATGATGGGACCTTATGTTGCAGTCTTTGGATTGCCCACAGACCCATGCCCTTCTCTCTTTTTTTTTTTTTTTTTTCTTGCAGGAAGATAATTCTAGTTTGATTATTAAAAATTTCATGGTAACACTTATTTTGGTCTTAAGCTTTGTAAAAGTTTTACTGTGAAACTTATATTTTGGGCCTGTTTTGATTTCGCTTTAGAGAGGCAAGTTGAGTGGGGGAGATACATTTTTTCTTTTATTGGACCAACTTTTGTTGGTGAACAAGCCAAGGTTTGCACAGAACTTTTCATGAAGTCCAGGATGAAGAACAACTCTGCTTAATTTTGAAAGCTTTTGTCTCTCAATAACAGCAGTTGGTCCAGTAAAAGACATTACTTCACTCACCTTGTCTTTCTAATATCCTGGGATCAACATAGTCTAGGTAACTTATTTTTAAAAACATTCGGAAATGCCCTATATCATTATTTTTTAATATTTGATTGTACCTAACTATTCTTTTTCACACCGTAGCATTCCATCAGTAATAAAAGCCCATGGAGCTCATCTTAAAGCTAGCGCAGCTATGGTTCGTTTAAGACTTTATGACATTTTGGCTTTGTTACCTCCAAAAACGTATGAAGGTAAATAAAAAATATATTTTTGAAGGGAATTACCAAATAAGAAAGTATTGTTATTCTTTTTGATGGATTCTCTGGTGGTTATTGCTGAGATACATACCCGCTGAAAATAAATCACCATTTCAAAATCTTGTGAAGTTTAAATATTTAAGAGCTAGGGTACAACTACACTGCAGTGCTATTTTGGGATACCAGCGGTATCCCGAAATAGCTACCTTGTGTTTTTTGAACACTTCCGCTATTTTGAAATATAGCGGATTCGCTATTTCGGCATCCCTGTAAACCTCATTCCACGAGGGATAATGGATGTCTCAAAATAGTGTGTTATTTCGAAATTTGATTCTGTGTAGAGGCGCCAAATTTCAAAATAGCCTATTTCTAAAAAGAATCGAAATAAGATACGCAATTTGAGTAGTGCAAATTGTGTATCTTATTTCGAGCTACGGGTGCAGTGTAGACACACCCCTAAAGTCAAGGTTAAAAGAAATGGTAGACTTCCAAGATGTGACAAATCTTCCATGTATATTTGGTTTATTATGTATGTTAAAACAAAGCAGTTGAAGTTCTGCATAGTACAGCACAGTGCATACAGTGTGTGTAAGGTATATGTAGATAAGAAAAGGATTTATGGGAATTTTAAGTTTGTAGTATTTTGTTTTTTATTTAACAAATATATATACAATTATTTTTTAAGGCATATATACAAAGGATAAAAATGATTCATTTCCTGGTTTTCAGTTTTATGGTTTCTTAGCTGACATAGCATAAAAGGGAAGGTTCTTCCATGGATTGGTAACTGGTTTAAAGATTGGAAACAAAGGGTAGGTATAAATGGTCAGTTTTCAGAACGGAAAGAAGTAACTTGTGGTGTCCTCCAGAGATCTGTTTTGGGACCAGTCCTATTAAGCATATTCCTAATTTGGATAAAGGGATGTAAACAGGTGGCAAAATTTGCAGATGATACAAAACTACTCAAGATAAGTCCCATGCAGACTGTGAAGAACTATAAAAGGACCTCTTAAAACTGGGTGACAAAGCAACAAAATGAGAGATGAAATTTAATGTTGATAAATGCAAAGTAATGCATATTAGAAAATATAATCCCAACTATACTATAAAATGATGGGGCCTAAATTAGCTGCTACCACTCAAGAAAGACATCTTGGAATAATTTTGGTTAGTTCTCTGAAAACATCCACTCAATGTGCAGCAGCAGTCAAAAAAGCAAACAAAGCTACCAAGATAGAAAATATATTGCCTCTGTGTAAATCCCTGAAACTCCCACACCTTGAATACTGCATGCAGATGTGGTTTCCCCATCTCAAAAAAGAGATATGGAATTGGAAAAGGTTCAGAAAAGAGCAACAAAAATTATTAACGGTATGAAATAGCTCTTGCACAAGGAGTGATTTATAATATATTATAAATTAATGCATCATTCAGTGCAACTTTTCAGCCTGGAAAAGAGATGACTATTGGGGATATTATTAAGACCTGTGAAATCATGACTAGTGTAGAGAAAGAAAATAAGGAAGTGTTCTTTACTCCTTCCCACAACACAGGAATTAGGGGTTGCCAAATTAAATTAATGGACATCTGGTTTAAAACAAGTAAACAGTCGCAATGAACAGTCAACCTGCAGAACTCTTTGCCAGAGGATGTTATGAAGACCAAGACTATAGCAGAGTTAAAAAAAGAACTAGATAAAATCATGGAGTAGATCCATCAGTGTCTGTTAGCCAGGATGATGATGATATCCCTAGCTTTCTTTGCCAGAAGCTGGGGATGAGTAACAGGGAATGGTTCACTTGATGATACCTGTTCTGTTAATTGGCCACTGTTGGAAGATAGGATACTGAGCTTTGGTCTGGCCGTTGCTATGTTCTTAAAACCCCTTCTGAAAATTGGATCCTTAAATTTACATTAAATATAGGTTTATTTTTTGAAATAAGCATTTTAAATGAAATTTGAAACTGTGAAAAATTACATTAAGGCCTAAATTTATTTATTTTATTACAATCATTTAAATTAAATGAAAAATAACCAGCAGTACATGTTGGCATCTTTCATTTTAAAGATAGGCCACTTGACTGGGGAAGTTACTGGCTAAGCAAGTGGAGCCAGAGTGTTAAACTAGCTTTTGACAGCAGTAGCCTTTTCTGCAGTTCAGAGACGATATTTCCTTCATTTCTGTGTATTTGGCTAGGTTAGTTCAGTGACACTGGCTCATTCAAAGTTGTTAAACCAATTGGGAAAGCTTGTTTTTCCATTTGATTCAATGAATATAATTAGATGTGAAAGGATGAGAACTAATAGTTCTAAAATCTTAAAGGACATACTGACCTGAACCATTCACTTGGGTTCATGATTAATAAATCAGTTTGTTTTAAATGCGAAACATGTTTTGATAAACTGTTTTTCTTGTGTATCTAGCACATTTAAGGTAGTTTTATTTAAGTAATAGTAATTATACATTAACATGCTGTTATGCATTTTTAGTTTATTTGAATTGCCCATCAAATAGACCTTGACACAAATCACAAGTAAAAAAATTAATAATAATATAGTAAATAAATGCATCATTCACTGTAATAAATATGTAAAATTTAGGAATCTCAAAAAATGTAAGTATATAACTACTTAACTAAGAGTGTATATTTGTGTGTGTGTACACAAATATACGCACTTAGTTAAGTAGTATTTTTATTTATTTATATATATATATATATATATATATATACACACACACACACACACACACACACACACACACACACACACACACACACACACACACAC